GTGATGTAGTTGGTCAGAGGAAATTAAGCTGTAGACATCTAAAAAGAAGACTTTCAAGAAATGTAATCCGATGAATTAACGTGCGATATCTGCATTCAAAATTGTCGTGTGATTAATCGCGCCTTATTCTTCAAGTAAACATGGTAAGCTTAAAAATTGACGAATAAAGTGAAATCACAGACAACCCAGAATCCCAAATGGGTCATCTGCAAGAACACTTTTCCCTCGGAATGTTTCCCAGCTTTCCAGAAATTGGATGATTCCCTTTCGTTGATGTGTAGTAGTCTATACGGTCATGTTGCTTTGTTAGACTTTGTCTCCCATTTTCACGTGAGAAAGCTGGAAAAAAAAGAGAAAGCATTAGGACATTTTTATTTTAAAAAATGGGCGACTTTTTGGAGTAAGGAGAAAGAGGTTCATATTCGAGAAAATTTTGGCGATGGACAATGTCTAGAGAGACGGTTCCATGACTACTTGACTCAATTTTTCTTGCAACAATACATATAGGAATTTATTTGCACTAAATGACAATATGAATTAAGGGTATGGTTCACAATAAAGGATGAACATGGAATATGTGAATTTATTCAGGTCAAGTTCGCCTCACAAATGTGGAACTGAATTGAGGTTCGACTGTTACATTGCAATAATGCAGGAAAATTCATTAGTATCCTTCATAAAAAGATATTATATTTGAAAAAAATTGAAAAAATATTTTACCACTGCATAACACAAAGTATTCATTTACTGGTTAATACTGTGCTTCAGCTCATTTTGTTCTTTGCAATCAGCTTTCCAAAATAATTCCTGTTCTCTAAATTCTTCCTTTCCATCTCATCTTCGCAACATTGATATCGCCACTTCAGATTTTTTTTTTACGGCCATCTATGGCTAAAATGGAGGCGAAATTTTGGTTTAAAAAAAATACAAACCTGAAGAATTGCAACAATGAGGCCAAAAAGGCCGATGGCACTGCCGAAGATTTCCACAATGAGAATTTTGACAAAAAGATTCGGGTTTGCAGCGTCGGACAAGGCAGCTCCAGAGCCTGAAAAAATCAGAAAGCATTATTGATGATTGAAATTCAAATGTTGTTCTCGCTCGTTTTTTCATCAATTGAAGAAGAGTTGAATATATGCTCACCAACTACTCCCACAGATATTCCACAGAAAAGATTTCCCAAACCGACAGTTATTCCGGCTCCGAACATGGCATAACCCGCCAACCAGTTCTCACGTTTCACGCGATCGTCGCTCAGGATTTTCGCTTCCGAGAAATTCTGCACACAGCATGAATGTATCAGCGATCGATTATTTTTTTCCGTTCCGTGTGTCTAAACACTTCATTTTCGCATCATTATTGAACTAACCTCAAGCATGCCGGAAATGACGATGGCGATGATGAGTCCATAGATAGCCACAGCTTCGCAAAAAATGATGGAAATCAAGTTCTTGGTCTTGATGCGCGGGGCTCTCACACCTGCTCCCATGATGGACACTCCGGTGGTGTAAATTCCCCTGAATCAAAAATCAAGTGAATAATTCTAAAAAACGTTTCCTTTTTTAGGCATTTCAACTCTCTCCCAAGGGGATGTCATCCCAAAAATTGCTCATAATTTTTCGTTCGAGTTTCAGTGAATATTGGATGACGATGCTGAGGAGTGTTGGTGAATTTTCGCGGTAGAAAGATCGCTACTGTTCCAGAAGAGCATCAAACAATTGAAGAACTGTTTTGGGATCAATAAGCGATCTAAAAATTTCCTTTCGCACTATATTAATCCCATCAATTCATATATCCTTCGGAACAGGATAGTCTACCTCAACTACTATTTTTCAACATGAAGAAACTGATCCAACAAGCTGACATTCTGATGCCTATATGGACATACAGTATTATGAGAAGTCATTATATGCCACTTATGTGATAGGGCCTCAGTGTTTACATGAAAATACTTGCCATTCTTTGGAACATTAGTGTAGATCAATTACAAATTTACACAGGAAAAAATGTGATCTACACTTCATGAAGTACAGAAATAAGAGGGATGATATCCAAATTTCATTGTAAAAAAAAAATGTGACATTGCCCATGATGTTCTATAAGATTTTGGGTTTTTTAAACGAGTTCTTCAATTTACTGCATGACAATAAATAAAAAATTTCCAGTAACAGGCAAGTGACATGCCCTTAAAAGGTTTCTTGGTACTTTTCTGTTATCTTTGTACCTCATTCCTAGACCACACCACCATCCAGACAAATCCTTAGGACAAGTTCATAATCATGACAATCTACCAGAAACTTTGAATTTTATTTTTCTGCATTGTGATGAAACTGATTTTGGGAGGCAGTTAGGTAAAGTTAGGTTAGGTCAGGTTATGTTAGTTACAAATATCTTTAAATTAACATAACCTGACCTAACCTAACTTTACCTAACCACCTCCCAAAATCAGTTTTCTGCTTTATTTGGGTTTCTGCTGAAACTGATTTTGGGAGGCGGTTAGGTAAAGTTAGGTTAGGTCAGGTTAAATTGGTCAGAGGGAAGGTATACAGAGATAACAGGAAAGTAGGTACAGAGATAACAGGAAAGTAGGTACAGAGATAACAGGAAAGTAGGTACAGAGATAACAGGAAAGTAGGTACAGAGATAACAGGAAAGTACCGGTTTCTCCACCCATATAACAGGGTGCTGAATATTTGTAAGACTAAGAAGAAATTGAATTTTGTGCTGTTTCAAACATTATCTAAAATTTAGAAAATATGAAGGGTAACAATAAAAAATGTTTATTGTCAAGTGGGCTTGACAAACTTTCATCACCCTTTGACCTGGGTGGAGAACTTTGGCTGTAACTGCGAAGTTTTCAATGGACGTCATGCAGTAAAAGAACTTTTTCAAAAAATCCCAGAACCTTACAACATATACAGTCATGTGCTGTCATATATTTTTCAATGAAATTGGTAATTCAAAATATTGCAAGTCTCGTTCAAGTGGGACGACCTTCGTATATGCAGATATTCCATCACATGGACAAAGTGTGAGAAATAATTATTCGTCCCGCGTCTTATAGGGCCTCACTGTAAGTAACATCACTCATTGTATATGTAAAAAAAAAAAAAAAAAACTTACAAAGCTGCTCCAACGACGGACAAGGCCACTGCTAGGCCAACACCTATGCCAGCCCACATGTGAGGCGATGTATTCTCCAGGAACCAGCCGAAGTCAATGTCATGTCCATGGCCAGTGAATAGGTAATAAAGGGCTGCAATGATACAATCAAGTCAAAATACACATATCAAACAAAACTAAATAAGTAACGCACCATTGCTTCATACCCTCCTTCCAAGGAATTTTTTTTTTTTTTCGTCCAGGTAATCTTTCCAAGAGGAATAACTTAGAAAGTATACTTCTAATAACAAAAGCTTACAATAATAATTCGAGTTTAAGATTAAGGATACCTTACAGTACAGTACTTTGTTATCATCTCTAGTTCGCTTGCCGGGATTCGGTTTACTTTTCATTAGATCTAATTTTAAAGTTTAATGAGACAAAATCAAAACCCCGAATTTCTCTCTTTCGAGGAAAACCGTTTTGGACTGACACTGCTGCCAGGAAATTCTTTTGGAACATCCTCCGAAAGGGTTTGATCGGAGAAAGTATTGGCAAGAACCCACAATTTTCAGGCTCAATTACGATAATTCATTTTTCATTCAACTTCTCTGAAGCAAAACTATTCAACTAAAATGTTCTGTGAATTCGTGACCGAATCGCGCGCTCAATAATACCATTGCATTTTAAACCCCCCATAACTTGAAACTTGTTCACTTTAACGTCACCTAGTCAAATATTCGATCATTCTTATCCTCGTATTGAACTGGGGAAAAAAGCTTGGAAAACCTGATCACAATAAAATAAAGATTCTTACTTTCGTCAAAGGAATAATGAAACTTATTTCTGCAGCTATAGGAAAATAATAGATATAAACTCTTTCAAGAATTGCTCCAGAAAATAGTTGTCCTTGATTAACCTTCAAAAATCAGGCCACATTCCCAAACTCGTAAATTATGAATATTTTGGTTTGTCCTTTCAAATTTGTCTTGGAGATTTTTACTTTCGTCAGAGGAATAATGAAACCTAATTCTACAGCTATAGGAATATAATAGTTATAATCTCTTTCAAGAATTGCTCCAGAAAATAGTTATCCTTGATTAACCTTCAAAAATCAAGCCATATTCCCAAACTCGTAAATTGAGAATATTTTGGTTTGTCCTCTCAAATTTGAATTGGAGATTTTCAGCAGTAATATTTCCGTCACTAAGCAGTAGTTCGTCTGTCATTTCAGCAGTATTTTTTGGATATACACATACACACTCACAAAAATAAGCACAAAAACTTACCGATCCATCCCAGAACCCCAGTAGCTGTGGCACCAGAGCCAACAGCAGCGTATGTCCCGTACATCCTCGCTGTGATGCGCAAGATATTTTCGTCCCCCGCCCACACTTCCTGTCCCTAATACGGGTTCACTCACTACGTATCTCTTTTTGTCGTCACATTCTGAGATTACTGACGCAACAAAATTTCAACTCGATTTGTCTCTTTTTCATTGAATTTTTATTTATTTTGTTACTCTCAAACGACTTATGATGATGAACTCGCATCCACACGCGCAGGACGCGCGAGACGCAAGTCTGTCGTTCCTTTCACGAGACTTCACCTTTTGCTGCACGTATACAGGGACGTGGAAACGCCGGAGAAGGCGACAATCTTGGCAAAAGATCTCGAGGCCACTGCTGCTGCATTCCTGATTGTCCCTGTTCCTGCCCTAACTTCGATACGATCTTTCCTGGTCTTGATATTTTTTAATTGAACTCGTCCCCGACAGGGACAAAAAAAAACTAAGTAAGAAAGCTGAGCGAAAGGGTGAACTCGACGCAGAAAAGAAGCACCAGGAAACGAATGGCATCTCGAATCCCGCAGATTTTGTGCTAATTTCTTCACGAAATTCCGGCATATTTCTGAATACTGCGTTTCCGGGAAATATTGATTTCCTGTAGCAGAACTAACTTTTTTTTTTATCCGGAGACTCGATTGGAAATACTGAAGATTCTCAATTATAAGAAGTTTTACTCGGCTGACCGTTTATAATATTCAATTCAAAACCCGACTATAGCCTGTCAAAAATGCGTCGGATTTATTTCAACCTGGGAATGCGATTTCAAATGCGCACGTTTTTCAAACAATAATGCATTTGACATCAACAAAAAGGATAGAATTGAAAATAAAAATCTTTGATTGGACGTGCTTTAAACGTTAAATACGAAACGCTTAGTTCTGAATGAAAAAAATTGACTTGGAATGCAATAAATGTCCATCTCGCATATTTGCAGAACATTACGACTTATTTTGGAAAAAGTAGGAATGCGTCCACGAATCAGTGACTTCTTAACCCAATTACTCAAATTTAAGTCATTTATTTCCAAAATCGGAGAATTTACTCAGAGTCATGCTTCGTCAGTTTCAGGATTAATTTTCTAGAAAATTTAATTGAATAATTGAATGGTCAGTGACGGAATTTAGAACTACCAACCTGATGGGAGTCGCCGTCAAATGTTTGATTCACTTCATAACTTTTCCATCTCGTTTTTGTAGCTAATTCGTTACTACTGGACAGGAAGGGACGCAAAACAAATCCCTCTTTTCTTTGTGGGCGACTCTTTCGAAGGATTCCCTCGGGGGACACGTATTTATATTTTAGGAAACTCAATGAAAAAATATTTTGTAAAACTTTGTGGATGTGGCTTCTGAGATTGTCAGTCGCACTGATGGTGAACCGACAGCTGGGATCAGTTCCACAGACTCCCGAGATGTCAAGTGACTGACTGACCCTCTTGGGAAGCATCAGGGGAGCAAAAAAGGACAACTTTATTCAAGATTGCCTCACTGTCACGCATCTCATCACGCGACTCAGGTCAGGTGATGTTGTCCTTCCTCTCACTTGGGTTGGCATAAAATGCGACGCGATTGCGACAACCCTGTGGCCCTCAACCGCGAAACCAATAAACTGGGGTTAAACTCGGAATTTGACAGCGTATTTAAATCGAGGACGGGGAAATGTAAAACAAAGTGTAGGACACATCTGACCTGGTTTCTATAGGTAGACATGAATAATTATCAATGAGCGACTAAACATGGTTTGCCTCATCCCACTAAATGTTTATATACTGTACTAAATTGAAATTTGACGTCTCGGTAATTCGAACCTCCCTAAGTCAAATATCTCCCCAAGTAATTTTTTAAAAGTCCCAGTCTGAATTCCATTGGAAAAATGCATTAATAACCTCTCTTAAGCTGAAAGATTTTACTCTCACTGGAATTTTCTGAGGCCTTATGGTTATTATCATCTTGACACTGGAAAGAGAAAAGCAATAAAAATAATTTTTTGTATTTCAAAAGAAGGTGAAATCCTAATTTGGCAAACAAGCTTTTGCTTCCAAGTTCAACTAATTTAAAAAGCAATACAGTCAACCCCCGTCTAACGGACTTGATTTGTGCAAAGGACAAGTCTGTTAGACGAAAAGTCCTTTGCACAAATTCAATTACATAAAAAATTAAAAATTTCAATTTTCAACACTAATTCTAAACCAAAAGAAGTCTGTTTG